GGCTCCGGAGGCGGCGCCAGGGGTGCAGGGGCGGGTTGGGGAGCTGGGGAGGCCGAGATGGGGAGCCGCGAGGGGCTGGGAGCCGAGTGGGGGCTGAAGAGCTGGGGCGGCAGCCGGGACCCGGGGAGCCCGGGGCGGGCCTGGGGGCTGTGCGCCCAGGGTGCAGCGGTGGGGGTTGGGCCCGCGGGGGTGTGGCCGAGCCGGGGGGCCGAGGGCCGTGGAGCAGGATGGGGTGCTGAGGGTTGACGTGCCCCCAGTGCTTAGGGTTCCTCCTTCCCCTCCGCCCGCATGGGAGCATCTGGCCGGGCCCCTGCCCAGACCCCTACCCCAGAAGCCCCCGCACCTTTGCCAGACTGCAGCTCTGCCTCAGCGCCTCCACCCCTGGCCTGCCCCCACCCGGCCCTCGCCCAAGCGTATTTAAGGTTGTTTTAGTTAAAGCCAGTGCTTGGGCTACAGCAGCTTTAGCGAGACGCGTATGAGATTGAACCTCCGGTAGGGAGGCCATGGCTCCAGCAGTGCAGCTGTGTGACTTCAGGCAAGCCCCTTAGTCTCTCTGTGCAACAGGGAGATAAGGCAGCTGATTGTAGGGATTTTAGTGCAGGGCTTAAGATAGTGGGGCCTAGTCAATGGTGATGGATGCCACCCCACAGCCTTCCACTCAGCTGGACACATGTCTTGAGTGACACGTCCTGAGTGACACATCCTAATGACATTCCCTGGCGCGAGTTCTGTGGGTGAGCTGTGCTCCCACCATGGGAGATAGAACATGAAGCTCACTCTGGCTTTTGTGCCATATCCGGCCTATTGTCACAGTCCACTCCTCCTCCTGCAACTGAGCTGGAAATGACAAAAGGTGTGGGCAGACCCCACCTGATTCCGGCTTTGCCATTTCCTGCCTCTGTGGCCTCAGGTTGCTGACCTTCCCTGAGTCTGTTTCTTCATTGCAACCTGGCTGAGTCCAACAGCGTGTACTCAGCATAGTTGAGAGAGGTAAACAGGATGCAGACCACTCTGAAAACCTCCACATGTTCATTCCTAGAATTCCTTTGTGATATGGCCTGAAGCCAGCCCTGTCCTTAGGACCTGTTCTCTGCCCACCGCCTTTAGTAGAGTGTCTTAGCTTCCTCTTTCAAGGGGCCAGGCCTCAGGCTGCACCTCCCAGCCCACACCATCTGCTGCGGAGTGTTGGGAGGAGGCCGACACCTTCCCTCTGCCCAAACGTGCCAGCAGCCGGGCACAAAGGGGCCTTGCACGGAGGGCCGTGGTACAGCCGAGAGACCGGGTGTGGGAGTACAGCTTATAATCTTGTGAGAAGTCAAGCCTGTAAAAAGTGGCATTTGCACGACAATGTGAACATGCTTAATGCAGCAGAACTGTACACTTAAAAGGGTAGAATGATAAATCGTATGTTATGTATAGTTTACCGTAAGTGTTTTAAAAAGAAAAAAATACATATGTGGGGGCTTCCCTGGTGGCGCAGTCGTTGAGAGTCCGCCTGCCGATGCAGGGGATACGGGTTTGTGCCCCGGTCTGGGAAGATCCCACATGCCGTGGAGCAGCTGGGCCCGTGGGCCATGGCCGTTGAGCCTGCTCGTCCGGAGCCTGCGCTCCACAACGGGAGAGGCCACAACAGTGAGAGGCCCACATACCGCAAAAAAAAAAAAACATATGTGGGAAAATATCTGGAAGGGTTTCTGCCGTACTCTTCCCGGTGTTTGTTTATGAACGAAGGAATAAGGCTCTCTGCTTGCAGAAAAATGTTTGCAGAAAAATGTTTAACTGTGAATAGATACTTTTGTAACAGTGATGCAGTTTCCCTCCCTAAAGATTGCTGTTTCTGTCTTCACTCCTGTTCTGAAATCAAACAGGACTTGACAAGTGTTTTGTCCATACTGCCGAGAAAAACACAGTTGTACAAACACATGTTGGTTGAGCTTCGAAGTCAAAATGGTTAAACTGGAGGATAATCAATATTTTAAACCAAAAAAAAAGAAAAATGGGCTTTTACAAGTCAGATGCAAGCAGAAGTGCTATAGAGCCATGAAGACGGCTGTGCCCCAGCCGTGGGGATTTCAGCAGAGGTAGGGCCGGAGCTCTCAGGGCTGCACCTGGGCGATGAGCACAGAAATAAAAGAGGGGCCTGGGAGCGGCCAGCCCCAGGGTCGGCGGCCCATGAGGGGTGGGCGGAGTTCTGTCCAGTTAGCAGCCGGGCTCCGCAGTCCCACCTTGGCCTGACTGGGACCCTGGCTGGGTAACTTGGCCCTTTCGCTGATGCCTCGCCTGAAAGGTGAGGGTAATAACACGGGGTATTGCGGGGTGGGGGGGTGCAAGAAGAGGTGGCAGCGGAAGTGCGCTCAGAGGGTGGCGGCCCTGCAGTCCCCTGGCGGGTATTAGTCGCAGCACCGT